CTGGAAACATAATTGATTCAAATAATTAAAAAAAAGTAAAAATATTTTGTCACAGCATGGATATGTCTGATGCACGGTAGATAGTGTAATAGTGCTAGTTTGGATTTTGTTTGTTTTGCATCCTGTAACCTTAGTAATTTTATCACCGTTCGCACATTCGATTGTTTATAATTCCTTTTGTTTTCTAATTGCACCTTTAGATTCATTAACTATTTCTTTTGGGATTTTTAGTATCATTATTCAGTTTATGTAATTAATCTTGGGACTAATATATTTTGTATTCACTATTATTATGTAAATTTTCGTAGCTATGTAGCATTACAATAAGTTCTTGTTTAGTTATATTTTGGGCGTGTTTCATATAGAGTTAGTTTTTGAGTTGGAGTTGGAGTTGAAGTTGGAAATGGAATTCGGTTAAGAGCGATTAGGTTAAGTTTGATATTTTGTATATTTAGTTTCTCGACGCTTTATAAATGTGGCAAGATGCTTGTGAAAGATCTTGTCGACATGAAGTATGGATTTATAGTATACGTATCTGGATTTATGGAACCGCGCGTGATGATTTATTGATTGTGCATTATTATAGTATAGTTTGAACGGACAGTGCTTGTGAAAGACTGTGCCTGTTAGAGAAACATTGTGAAGTTTATAACCTTTCGCGGAAAGATCACATGATCGGAAGATGGACGTTTGAAACATTATTTATTCGTCTCTTTGTCTCAATTCTCATTGAAGGACTAGTTTATATCGACGGTAACGATAGGGTGGATGTATTCTTTTGACAAAAATAACCCTATTGCAATAGAGTCTTGAATCAATTTGTTTTGAATATCAGAGGAGACCCCTGACATTTTGCCAGTACAATACAATCTGAGTCACCGAGTACAAAAGCTCCCAGTAATTACCATTGTTTTCCTTTTCATCCTTTCCAAAGCGACCTTTTCATCGGGACTTCTGAATTGTAGGGTAGTTCCTGTTTAAGGCAGGAGGACGAACTTCTGAAATTAAATTTAAGCAAGCCATTTTTCTGTCATGCACACTCCATCTCCCCTCGATCTCAATTTTTCTGGTACAAAAAAAACGAAGATTCTCTCTCGGCAGCGGCAGCAAACTTTTTCTACTGTTTATAATAGGTCTTTGAATATGACTTCCTTTGCTCTCTGCAGTCTGAGAGAAAACTATATGAATGTCAGGTTTCTCGCGATGTCTGTGATATTTCTGACTTAAACAGAAAATAGGACCAACAGAACGACCCTAAACAATTTGATTTCTATAAGTGCCACTCGTCTTGAAACGTTCGATTCTTGTATCAATCAAGTGACGACAGTGTAGGGCCGAAGCTTCCAGCAGCAAAAACTTCTTCAGAAGCTGAATCATGACGGTTAAAGTTAGTTTTATACATGATATCAAAATAGTTGAGTCTGACTATGGCCTGAGTGAAAATTTTTGTGACCTTTGACCACGGCGCAGAAAATCAACAAATTATACCGAAACATAGGGCTCCAAAAGAGCAGGACCTGAGGTCCTGCCATGTCTGAAGGGCAGGAGTGCCATTGTTTTCTTCTATTGTGAGGCAGGACCAAAAACAGGGCTACAAGGCGTTTGCCCATTGTTAGGCAGGACCAAACATAGGGTTTAGTCCTGCCTACGAGTATTGGGCAGGACTGACCACAGGGCTAAATTTTTGACGATATCAATTTACGAACGGGATACTCGAAATTCAATTCCAGTCACCCTGTGTCTCAAAATTGAAAAAGGGCACAGCCACGAAGTATCAGTGTAGAATAATACAAGAAATGCCTTTGAATCAGGCATATAATGATTTTGTAGTGATTCCATTCATTCTAATTTTTCCTCACCTATCGCCATCCATTTTTACTTTGTTTATTTTACCTACAGTAATTTCTTCACATCACTACCTCATCACTACACTCTACGAGCCTATCACTATGTCAACATTTCCTCTCTTTTGTTTAGGCCCTCATCAACCCTACACATCTACCTAAATCTCAATTCATAAACTATTCACACTTAGCCTAGCCCTTCCTTTCCCACGCTACCTTATTTATTTTACGTAATAAATCACCGCTTATGTATATACCTTTCCAATGGATTTTTAGTTAGTTAGTTTTCATTTCGCTGGAGAAAAGACACACAAAAACACATTAAATTTGTTTTCATTGTGTCGATGGCCTAAGGCAGCGTGTAACAAGAATCAAGATCATAAAGATAAAGCTCGGTGAGATCGTACAATTATAACTTATTTATTAATAGTTCATTGTTCCTGCACAGCCACAATTTGACCTATTAAAATTTCATAAAGTGAATCAATTTTTAATATTTTAAAAATTGTTATCTTTGGAAATTTGTGGTCCTGCCCGGCAGGACAAACAGGACCTTTGACTTCGCCACTGCCTATACTATATTTATGTGTTGTAAAAATCTATACTACAGGATTAATTTAAGGTGCAGTGATGACCAATTTGTGCAGTGGTGAATCGGAGTTGTGCAGTGATGAATTGAAAAATGTGCAGTGATGGATTACTTCACTTTTCAGTGTGAAATACTCCAAATACGACTGATTTGGATGTTTTTAGAATAAAGACAAATGAATAAAAACTATAATCGAGAGTCGAATGAGATAATAGAATCAACCTACGTGTGAAGATCAACTAAAACCAGCTTCAACAAAAAAAATAATATACAGTTAATAACAAACGCACTTCATAATGCAAAAAAGTGTTTTTTAAGAAAATAGAAAGAATACTGGAAAATAAATAGATAAAAAGAAAAATGCAATAAATCCTGTTATTGCTAAGATTTCAAGGAATAAGTCGAGGTCTGTGGGGTCTTATAAAGTAATTATGTAATTTTTTTTAAGACTGGAATTAATCAAATGTAATAAAAGCATGCCTTGAAAAAAACAAAATGTTTAAGATGATTGCAAGAAAATAACTGCTAGAAATATTCTAAAATATATTTTGAGCTAATCTAAAGGGCGTGGCCACAAAATTTTTCGCTAGCTCCGCTCGCAGGGAAGACTCTTCTTTCAGATAATCCTAGGGCCTCCAACAACCTGGGTTCTTCTTGTATTGCAAGGCGAAAATGAACCAATGCCACTTCTACCATCAAATGATGGCCTGCTTCTCTTCTTTTGTATGAAACACAGTACACCACAATAATTGGAGTGAATACCATTTCTATCTTTGCTTTATATTTGGATAAGAATTTTTTTGGTTTGGGTATCCATAAAGCTAGCCAGGCATAGTTTTGAAAGATTAGTAGCAGTTACAGATTTGTATTATATAGACAAACCATATATTACATAAAAAATATGTAATATACAGTAATGTTGTGCTTTTGACAGATCTTAGAACGTTGAAATATGTAACATGATTAGAGATCAAGTCTCTTAAAACAGCATTTTATTATAAGAAACAGCTATAAACAGTTGATTTGCCATTTAAGGATCAATCGATAACTTAAAAAACACAGTATTTCCATTCCACTCCATTTCCCCCATTCAAAAAGAAATACTATATTGACTCCATAGGGTGGAAATGAAGAAAAAATTCCCTGTTATCTGGTTTGCTTCTCTGTTCTCTTTGGTCATGTTTGATATGTTCTGGTAAGATTTATACATAATCAGTGGTAGCTGTAGTTAGGCCATATAACACTGAAATCGTCCCTGAAAACAATGTAAAACGTTTTTGGTCCGTCCAAAAGAGGTCCAGTCAAAACTTAGCCACACCCTTAGCCGCACCTTATTTGGCCCTGAAAATCTGCGTTTTATGCTGTTTTGTGCAGTGATGAAAATTCCTTAAATTAATGCCTGGCTCTAAGGCCGTCACATATACCATTAACCTGATATTCTCCTTCCCTCTTTTTTAGCGGTTGGCAACCTACGGCCTGCCGATCAGAATCTGGCCCGGAAAGAAGATTTTTGTGGCCAGCGAGATAAAAAAATTTTCCGAGGGGTCGTAAATATTAAATGAAACACATTGATTCAAAATTAGATTTTCCAATATCTTTACCAAACCTGCAAATCATGGAAAGATTTAGTCACTATCCGCTGTCACGAATTCATCCTCGACAGCAGAATCTTCGAGAGACTTGGCGAAAGTTAACAAATGCAGCAAGAACAAATCTTGCCTGACGCATTCATGGGAGTTGAGCGGGGATCACGGGTGTCTCTATTGTGTCATGTAATAGTTGCTAGTGGGCTGGGGGAGGGGGGCTACATTGGACAAATTAGGGTTTACGTATATTAAAGTGAACGGTCTCAGCTAAAAGGCTGATGCTAAACGTCGTTTGGTGAATAATTCTGCATTTCCATTCAAGAATAATTTCTCCAAACCCTGAATGAGATCTTTTTTATATTGACTGTTTTTTTCAGATTTTCCTTTGGCACTTATAATTGTAACAGTCTTTTCTATCGTTGTGAACTATCTATGTAAAAAGAGGTTTGTGATTGTAGTGTTATTAAATTTAAATGAAAGTCTTTTTTGTTATCATTATTATTTTATTACAACTATTGTATCCGTTTTCTTATTACCTTTGGTCCGCTTAAAAAAAGGATTGAAGGATCTGCGAAGTCTCTAAAAAGGTTGCCATCCTTGTTCTATTCCATTACAATAATTATATTTAAACCTTAATCTTAGGAAGAAGTATGATAAGATGAATACAATAGCTGGCATGATGCCTCATGTTACCTCCAAGGAACACGTGCCTACCTAAAATTACCTAGAAGGACTTGACCTTAACAGTCTTGCAACAATACCAACTGTGAAGTCATATCTTTCATGGTTGATATGATGGCAAGCATCAGAACGCTAACAGTATTACCCGTCACATACATAGTGTCATTACCGTTAGGATACTATTGACGCAGATATCTTTCAAAACGAATCAAAAGTCTGCAGAACGACAAAAAAGGAGGAGTGCAGAGAAACTTCTCATAAAGTCTGCATGATCCAAAATACCTCGCAACTTTAGTAGCTTTCAGAAAAAACGATGAGAACAAAACTTGCCAAACTTTGGAAAACTTGCCAAAAAGCGCCGCTTCTTAAGTTTAGTCAAGATTTAATATCAAATACCTGTGCAATTAGATTGGTAACATAATTTCTTGTTGAAAATAAATCAGAATCTAGCGTTCTTTGTTATGCCACCAAGATACGGTAGAGACTTAGTCTCGGGAAGGGTTGGCTCCGTGTACCTCTCCTGTCGAATTTTGGAAAACTTGCCAAAAAACTGTACTATGCACAAGATGGCATCTATTAATTGAAGGGCATATGTCGCATTAGCAGTTGGCTAATAAAACAAAAGCGTTTGGTGTGGAATGCCATTGTTTCGTGACTTTTCAGTTCTTCTTAAAGGTGAACTGACACGCAAAACTATTTTTCGATATAATGTAGAAAACGATGCATGGAATCTTAATTTCAAGTTTTCGGTTAATTATTATTGTCCGTTTTGACGCAATTCCGCTCTAAATGTCATGATATTATCGTCGAGTGTTCGACCATTGTCGGCATTTCATGTGACCCAGTGCGTGTGACGTCACAAACACCATGTTTCTATTCCTTGAATGGAAATCACGCACGGACTGGACAGTTCAGTTCATCTTGTTCAGTTACTATTCGAGGAGATCTATGTAGCCTTTGATCCAAGATAATGAAAATTCGATGCTTATGAAATATATGAATGATATGTGCTGGCAAGATAAAATAAGGAAAACTAACTCGACCTCAAATGAAAGCAAATCGAGCATAAATACCTGATACATTATTATTTTTTAAATATTCAACACAGTTTTCGAGTTATTGAGCGTCAAAGTTAGCCACCGAGCATTTTCCGAGTACGGACGAGTTTGTCCGAGCCTTCCGCATAGTCGTGACGTCACAAGCACCATGTTCACATCACTTGAGCAACACGACAGTGTGGAAGGCCGTACTTTTATGACTTTGCAAATGAGCATCGATACATTAATTGAGTAGGTTTTGGCTCCATCTCGACAACACAATTGGAAAACAGATTATGACTCCTTTACAAACCTTTCATAATAAGGTTTGCAAGAATATCGTATTATTCAACCCGTTTGAGGCCCTTCCTCCGTCTTGCAGGACCCAGTGTGTGGCGGGCCAACATATCGTGTAATGGTAGCGATATATTTTATTGACTTATAATATATTGACAGGATTTTTATTTTCTGGAAACCTAAGTAAAATGCTTTTATTTTGTTAAATACGGCTGCTGTTAGACTAATTTATCAGCACCCCCCCCCCCCAAAGTTAATTTCGGTCTTTGATCCTGGTTATCTTCAAATACGCAGTAAAGATTTTGTAAAGATTTTGAATTTAAGTCACTCATTTTCGTTTTTTTTATTCAATCACATGAAAAATTTTCAGGGGTTAAGAATCTGGTACGATCGAGTCACTATTTGCAGGAAAACAACTTAGTAAAATTTTCAACTCCCAGGCCGCTGCACTCCTATAACTCGGGTAAACCGATGAGTTTGCAGCCCAAAATGAAATAACGTTCATGATTTATATGGATGTAGAAATAATCTATCGAAGTAATGATATATTGAATTTATTCGAGAAAAAGCTAGATTCATGATAAAATGATAAGATTCTTACATTCGTCCTCATGATTGACTTCAGAATTGAGAATTTCTTCTCGCAGCTTAAAGTGCCTATTCTTTCCAAACACGTGTATAACAAGTTTCCCAATCAGATATTTACACTACAAATTTCAGAGAGATTTCCTCTTACGGAAATTTGCACCCTGAATCTCAGTGCAAGTTTATTTGCCGGAAATTTACGCAATGAATTTCTTAGAAATTTCTTTTCACTGAGATCTACATGCCGGATTTCGGCTAATTATTTTGGGTTATGATCTCATAAACTTTTAACTTGTTTTTAATATCGAATTGCAACGAATTTTGGATGTTTGCTTGATTTGCCCTTGATTTTGAATTTCAAGGGGAAAAGTCAATTTAGGACTAAAATTAGCGACTCATTTTGCACTCGGGCTGTTTCCATTAAATTATTTAGAAGTGTTATTGAGAATTTCAGGTATTAAAGCAAGTTGACCCATAAGACTGTTGATTTAGGATTCAGGGCTTAACATTGAATCGTTTTTGTCCTTTCTGTGAGTGAACGGTTTTGCTCGAAATCAATCAAACAGTCTTTGCGCCAAAGTTTATGTTTCGTTTTACAACCTTCCTGCGGCCTGGCAATTTTCGATTATGAAAACCTTGCTATATTATTCGAGAAATTCTCTGTTGGTTAATCGGATGCTTTCAGTAAAATATTAAATTTGTCCTTAGTGCCTAGTTTTGCGACAATGGTAGGCCGCGAGCATTGTGTAGCCTGATTTGGTCTATAATGCAGGCTACACCATGCTCGCGCGCTGCTGGCAGAATGACAAACAATAGCCCATCGATGGCAGTTGACAGAATTTGTCACTTCACAATAACTGTCCTATTGTGAACGGAAATGTGCGCGCCAAAGTAAGGTCAAGGTGACATTTCCGCCCTTTTGCCTCGAGGCCGAGTGCTTGAGTTTATTCCAACGGTTTGCTGACATGAAAAGAGATCTTCGAAGAATTTCTCTACTTTCAGAAATAAACATGGCAGAACACAGAGCGAGCAAATTTAATAGTGGTTCGATCAAAAGGTAATTCGTTTCCTCATCTTACTTCAAATTTTCTGGCATCTGAGTTGCCCTTCAGGGCTTTTAAGCAGAATAGAGATTCTGTGGCCTTTATTCAACCTTGATTTTGTCGAAAACCTGCGTAAACAAACGAACTAAAGACTATTTTTGAAAATTGTGATAGCATATATAGAATGTTAATGATCTAAATGTTTGAAAAAGATTCAAGAAATCGACCGAAAACTGTTGCATTTTTAACTCCCCGCCAGGTTTTGCTTTGCGGGCACCTGATTGATCTGCAGTTATCAAATTCTTTTATAATATTCTGTTCATAGTTCTGGCTCACAACCTCTGCATGAAAGTACCTTAAAGCAGGCAGATTTCAGCGGAAAATAGATAGAAAGAGGGGGCAAACATGAAGAATCCGGTTTCTCCAAAAACACCATATATTGTACTAAAACCTATAGTAAATAATATATAGGTCTATTATAAACTGTTTTAGGAGGGGAAGGGCTATTATTAAAAGACTGGTTTCATGTTTTTTACGTTTCAAAAAATGGGCCTAAGTATGTTTACCGCCATTATTCCGTTGGGCCCTCCGAGCCACTGCAAGCATAAATACTCCACAAACTAGCGATACACCAGGTCCCTAATACCAAAATAGAACTCCAAAATCTTTAAAACGCCATTAGAAGTAATTTGTCAAAAGAAACATATCTTTCAATCCGAAACTTAAACTGCGCGCCAAAATCAACGAGAAGATAAACTACCACTAGCAAGCCTTCCTGAGCCCGCTATTCCAGTAGCCTCCAGTCCCGCAGATGTCATGTGACGAGAATGGCACGGGGGTAACGCCAGGATACGTTTGGATAGATGTATCCATAGTCTATAGAATTAGGACTATGATGTATCAGAGGATGGGGTGGATTTGTGTTAATGTCTACACAAAATAAAATTTTACACATATTTACACTAATATAGTCTACACAAATTTTGATAATGGCCAATTTGCGATTAATAAGAAATCAGAATATTTTCGTGACCTTTAAGAAAATTAAATTTTCCTGAACGCAACTTACCAAAATACTTACTCACCACGCAAAAATCGGTAATGTGCAGCAATTTGCCGGGAAGTTTATTGTTAGTTTATTGCAGGGAAATATCCACATGCCCTTGTTTCATGAAAAATGTTTTTACACATTGTTGTATAAATCCTCAAAAAACTTTCTCAACAATTGCAACTAAAATTGTAACGAGAAAGGGCGTTTCCCTAATTCTAAGGAAGACTGAAGGGCGTGGCCACAGAAAATTATCTTAACTGGGTCCAGTTATGTGAATCACCCGAGCTGGCTCTTGACGGCCTTGGGTATTCTGGAGACCTTAATGTCTCAAAATCAATAAAGGATCAAGCAAAGGAAGGGGTCCGTTGGTTAAATATGATATTTTCTTTACATGAATGATGCTCAACAAACTAATGATTTGAAGATTTCTTGTTTTTGCACTAAAATAAAAAACCTACAGCATAATTTTTCACGACGAAATAGTCCACAACCCCCCCCCCCCCTTTACAAGTGTTGTGTGCTCTTTAATTGCACTAAAAAGTAACTCTTTAATTAATTAATAGTGATGTGACATTAATTAATGGCTAACACGTGATATGACATGTGATTATATACACGTTTCCTATTACACAAGGCTTGCTTCGCGACTGCCCTGCTTAGTTTGTATGAGCAAATCTCACAGGCAAGGTCGCCGAGGTTTTTCGGAGGGCTTGGAGGCAAAACCGAAAGACGTGGCCACGCCCTTTCAGAATACCTCTTGCAGTCATTCTTGCAATTAATTCCGTTTTTGAATTTCATTGCTTTATGAGACCACCCAGGCCTGCATTTTTGAGATTGCTAGTCATTGATTGCTAGTTACTGTGCTCTATGAAGGCTCTATGAAGGTAATCGGGCCTTTTTTGCCAACATAATGAGTTAGAAATTCTCTATTTGGCGACCAATTTGAAACTCATCTAAAAAGCACCCTTAGATTAAAAGCACCATCTAAAAAGCACCCTTGAAAATCTTTAACCTGTGCAAGCTTCAAGCAAATTCATTTGGCACCCTAACTGGCAAGAAGAGAAGGATGCTTTTCACAACTTTATACATCTATCAAGCAATGGAAAACTTTCTACAATTGAACATTACCATCTATTTTATGAATGTTCATTCAAAAATCACAAAATCTGAGTAGGCGATAAGTCCTTTCATTGCTTACCTTGAAAGGAATAAGCCAAGGTAAATTGGGTTTAGTGAGAGACACCATCGTGGTTGGCAGGGAGAAACATTTTGAGATATGACATTCTTAGGCAGAAAATGCATCTAAAATATTAACAACATCGAGTAACTCCTCGAATTAGCCCCCCCCCCTCGGAAATGCCCTCCTTCGAATAACCCCCTCTGCTACCGTATATTCTCGAATCGGCCATCTCAAATTGACGATTTTTGCCATCTGAGGTTGCCAATGGCGTTTTATTGAAGTACCACAACAAATTCATACCTTTGATAGTAATCAATTGAATGCTCATGAGGAAACTTCTATCAAAACTTAAAAAGCCCCCAGGGGGCTAATTCGAGGATTTGCTGTAATGAATTCCATTTTAAGATTGAAATCAATAGAACGTACTAAATGCATGCCGTAAAAAGAGCGATTGCAAAAAAATGACTGCAAGAAAAATTTCTGAAATTTATTTGAAGCCAATGTAAAGCTCGTATAATATTAGAAAAGTTTAAGAGTTTGAAAGTACGCCGATTTAGGGTCCTCGCACCAGTCTTAAAGATGAGGGTGTGCCCGAAATTTTTTTTGTACACGCCCTCTAGAACGACGGAAAATGCCCTTTTTAGAAAACACTTCCTTATTTAGACTGATTTTTTATAAACAGTTTGGTTCAGAGAAGATATCAATATCTTTAAAAATGGATAAAATTAGCTTGTGTAATAAAATTGAAAAAAGCATCAAGCTAAACAAGTTAGAAAATACATCATACCATTAAACAAGATATAAAGCTTCAGAGTAAAGCTTCAAAAAAAATTTTCTAGCTTATTTTTGCTAAAAGGTGTGGAGAACGGGCTTTAGCTCCTGCTAGCCCAATGGCTGCGCGGTGCCTGCGCCGATTTAAGTCTATCCATCTGTGGCGCACTGAAAGTCCCTCAAATAAGAATTTTCAATGAGATTATGTTATTTTTGTAAAACGTAACAGTGTTTTTGAGAATCACTGTAGCTGCTGTATCATCAAAATGCACAGGTTTTTAGTTTAGTGAAGGCCGTCACCAGTGACGCATTTACCGATGGGTTCACTGGTTTCAGGCCCAGGGGCCCCTCTCAAAATTCTTAGATTTAGGGGGCCCCGAGCAAAAGTTTGAGCAATTAAAGCCTTTAAAGTGCTCTTGATTTCAATCTGGTGTTTTAGTGAAGCTGAAAAATTGCAAAGAAGACGACATAGAGTTGGTCGAAAATGCATCCAAATATTTTTAAACATCGCTCTCGACTCATGGAAAATCCTGGACAATAGCTATAAGCTTACTACGAATTTGCCCACACTTTTCGAGACGAACTATTAAACAGCCAGGAATTCGTAAAAGGAGAAAAAATAGCTCTCCAACACATCTTTAAATCTATTCTTGGCATTCTTCTAATTTTCTTTCATAACATATGTGTTATAATGTCATAACTACCGAAAAGTTTATCATGATTTGTCTACAAAAAGTTTAAAACAGATTGCAGCAGAACACCCATTGTATATCGTTCCATGAACACCCATTATCGTAACAGTCCGAACAAATCAACAAAGTGTGTTGCAGTAAGGCAATCAACAATCAATAAAACATTTTGTATTTTATCATTTTATGAGTAAAAATATGTGGTATACATTACACGCTCATTTCAAACATACTCTGACTTCATTAAACCATCAGCAATTAGTTTTTAGTTGTCGGTCCTTTTAGAAAATATAATTACAAAAGACATGTGTAAATGTTCCAAGTCAATTAACCAACCGGCAATTACAAAAGATATTACCAACAATAAATGTGTTAACGATTAAACCTATGCAGAGCTGTTCCGAGACAAAGGATATTGTAAGAATACTGAAAACACCACCTTGATTAATAACACATTGGTTAATTACGCAAGTAAACCGTGGCACATTCTTCGAATTCAAACCAATTACAATGCAGGCAGTCAATGATGAATTATTGAGACTAAATACAAAAAAAGCGTCTACAATTGAAAGTATTCCTCCGCGGATACTGAAAGAAAACGAAGACATTTTTGCACCATTACTGACGACAATTTTCAATAATTCATTGCTCCAGAAAACGTTTCCTGAAGATCTTAAATTAGGAGACATAACTCCACTATTCAAAAGTGACAAAACTACAGAAAAACGAAACTATCGACCTATCACCGTTCTATCCGCATTATCAAAGGTCTTTGAACGGCTTCTATATGCTCAGATGGTCGACTTCGCGGATACGTTCCTAGTTCCCTACTTATGTGGTTTTCGGAAAGGTTTCAACACACAGCATGCGCTGTTGAGATTAATGGATATCTGCAAGAATTCCCTAGATAAAAAAGGGGTGGTTGGTGCCTTGCTAATGGATCTCTCAAAAGCGTTTGATTGCATAGACCATGAGCTATTAATTGCGAAATTAAATGCCTATGGTTTTTGTAAAGATGCTCAATTATTGATTTATAATTACCTGTCCGGTAGAAGACAAAGGGTAAAATTAAATGGTTCATTCAGCACTTGGCGAGAAACCTTTGCAGGTGTACCACAAGGATCAGTCCTTGGGCCTCTTCTCTTTAATTTATATATTAATGATTTATTCTTAATGGTAACTGATACTGCAGTATGTAACTTTGCTGATGATACTACGATTTTTGCAGCTGACTGTCAATTAGATAAAGTTTTAGAACGGCTAGAAACTGATGCTCTTATTTTATCAAAATGGTTTCCAAAAAACTTTATGAAATTGAATGCA